GGCAGTCTGGGGGAAAAGCAAGGCATCAGCTCCTAAATGGGACCAGTACTAGCCAGCTGCCTTACAGAGGGTCACCTCTCCAGGGAAGGCCCTTGGCCTTAGAGTTGAAAGTGCTCCCCACTTTGGAGCAGAATGGTCAGGCATTTAAGAGCAGAGCGAGGCCCCAGTTGCATCTACAGCTGAAAACACAACTCTCCCCTACCTCCAACGCAGGCACACGTCAATCTTAAGTCCCATGCTGCTTGCTCTTACTATCTACGGGGAAGCTCTCATTTATGTCCCCATATTTCCTTTGGACTAAGGAAGGCACTGGTTTTGCTCTAAAGATCCTTTGTAATTCTCAGGAGGAAATATACCATTTCCACTGCAAGGCTACCTATCCCCTCTCAAACCATTTAAGGGAAGGTGTCATCAGTCTTGGGCCTAAGAGCAAATGTTTCCAGATTCAAAAGTACTGCCTTCTAACATCCATGTCTTGGAGAGATCTCCTGAATCCTAGCAAACCATGTTGCCTGCAGTTACCTGTGGGAAGTTTTTAAGCAAACTCAGGGTGCCGTAATGGTACTGCAGCAGAGCATAGTGGCTTGGGGACAAGTGCAGGAAGAACTGGGCCCGGGAAGCGTCCACTGGGTTGGGCTGGGTGGGCAGGACCCGGGGTTGGAATCCACTTCCAAATTCTAAGTCGAGAGACTGGAAGGCAAGGAGGAGGATTACAAATGACAGCTGACGAGTCCCTGACCCATCCAAGGCTCATACCCTCTGCCCTACTTTACCAGGGGAAGTAACTGGGCCACGGCAGGTGGCTCCAAATGCTCCAGTTCAAATTCCCCAAAGGGGAAAGTGGCCGATTTCCCCTTATGCCAGTTCAGCCAGAGGCCTGAATGGCTTCCACTGCTCAGGAAGAGTCTGGGAGAAAGACCCTCTGGGGGAATCACGCCAAACTTTCTACTCCCCGCAGGAAATGCCTCAGGCCAGAAGCAGCAGTGGCAGCCTCTCACCTGCAGCGGGATCTGTCTCAGCTCCCATTCCGTCTCCAGAGCCAAAGTTTGGAGGGAACGTGAGCTCGGGTCAGGACACACCAGGACAGCCTCATCCACCACGCCACAGGCTCCGGACAGGTGCTGCAGCCATGGAGTTGAAACCCTGACCTACAGAAAAGTCATCGTTAACAGGAAGCTCGTGAAAGATTTTTACATTTCCCTCTCAGCCCAACAGCAGTATTGCTGCCAGCATCCCACTGGGGGTCCTAAGTTCAAAGGTTCTTCCATAGGAATTCTTCCTGTCCCCTGAAACCCCACCCTCCAACCTCCTGAGAGCCTCCAAAGGTGGAAAAAATATCAGAATTTTCTGGTCACTGGAAAAATAAACCCAATAATTTTAAATACCTGACACTTCAGATCTGCACTTCTCTACCATATTTGTCATATGTGGTGTCCTACTGTGATTTCACAGCACTGTTAAGATACTTACAGGCAGGGACTAGATCTATGTAATTTTTTAGCCACCCCAGAAGATAACACATGCAAATAGGAGTACTTTAAATAGAGGCCTAATGGGAAGGCAGCTAGCAAGTGACCACAATGAGGGAGCATAAGTAGCTTTTGCATCTGCCCAGCCACGTTCCCTGTTCCCCAGTACAAAGAAATCTATTGAGTTCCCCCCAATCCCACCTTATTCACAGGCTCCTGTCACCCTCCCGTACCTGCTGAACAATCTCTCCATCTTCTACATTAAACTTGACAATGTTCACATGGCTGAAAGGAAAAACACCGAGGGCCCACACCACCCCAGAGCCGTAAGAATACACCATCTGGTAGTGGATGCTGTCACTAAGAGAGGGAAGAAGAAACGGGAACGTTAGCTTTAAACCCAGGACAGGATTATTCTCAGGGGCTGCCAGGCCTCAGCCAGATGTCACAAACTAGTAATTCCCAAATAAGTTTTGCTTGGCTCATACAGTTTGGGGGCTTTTGTTGTTGTTCTTAATTTGAATTAGTTGTCAATATTTAGAAGAGATTATACTTCACAATCAGATTTCTAAATTTTCCTACGGTTAGAAGACGTGACAACGCTAAGCCTAAATACAAAGTGCCAATCAGGTGGGTAAGGCTGCCCCCTCCAGGCAGGCCAGGCGCTCTGCAGCTCCCATCCAGCCAGTGTTGCTCATGGATATTCCATAACCTGTCTCATAGCATTTTCTTTGTTGTGTTTTTTCAGACAGTGTCTCACTCTGTCATCCAGGCTGGAGTGCAGTGGTGCAATCACAGCTCACTGCAGCCTCTACCTCCCGAGGCTCAGGTGATCCTGCCACCTCAGCCTCCCAAGTAGCTGGGATCACAAGCATGCACCACCATGCTGGCTAATTTTTTGTATTTTTTGTAGAGATGGGGTTGCCCAGGCTGGTCTCGAACTCCCAAGCTCAAGTGATCCACCCAACTCAGGCTCCCAAAGTGCTGGGATTACAGGTGTGAGACACCGTGCCAGGCAAGAATTTGAAGTTTTGAGTCCTGCTCTAAACTTTGAAAATGGCCACAGGGTGTCTAAGTAGAGCCTTTTCTCTTGTTCCCTCCCTCCCTCCTGTTCCTTCCCAATTTCAATGCTTTCTACCAGCAGGAGCTCGAGAAACCATTTCATACTCACTCAGCCTACCCTGGGCTCTTCTTGAGTTGTTCTAACTCTTAATATGAATGAAAGGCTCAGTCAGAACTGGTACTTGAACTAGAAGTCAGAAGGCACAAAGTACCATAACCACGAGCGAGTGAGTAGCTCCTGTAGCATGGCTCGCCCTAGCGCCCCAGTTTGAGAGTGTTCTCCTCAGTGCAAAGGAAACTCCAGTCATACTCTGGAGTCTCACCCATACTCACAGCCTTCAGGATCTTGTGAGTGCAACACACTCCATGCAATACTAACAAGAGACAGGCCTGGGTTAAAGCAAATGCTTTGGGTCCCTCAAGGAGAAAGAGGAGCTCGTAGAGAGTAGGACGAGGCAGCTGTTGCCTGTACACAGGCGGCCTTACCTTTCTGGGAGATGTTCCACCCACTTGAGGTGCCCACTGGAGAGGTGATGGAGGGCAAGCGTCGTCTTCTTCAGGACTGCGATGTACCTCACAGACTCCTGCAGGCCAACCAGCCCAAGTGCCTGGAAACTGAGCACAAGTACAGGTTGAGAGCAGCCCACACCTGCAGAGCCTCCAGCTGGGAGAGACAGTCCAGAACAGTACTCACTGTTGCTTGGTGGGTAAGGAAACAGGCTTTGGGGTCAAACACAGCTGAATCCTAATCCTGGCTCTGCCTCGTTAGCCAACTTGAGATTCTGCACTCGCAACCATGTGGTCACACTGCTTGCTTCCCTGAAACCATCTACTTCTCCTAAGGGCTGTTCCCTCCTTCCCCGGGACTTCACAGCAGCTGGACCTACCCTCTGCCACATACCCATCAGACAGTGCTGTCATTACTGTGCTACCTGCCTGCCTCCCAATGGACAGCGGAATCCTCGATGACAGCAGCTGTCTCACAGTCCCGTGTGTTCCCATCACCTGGGGCTCACCACGTGTTTACCAAATGAATTACTATCAGAAGATATATAAGCTAATACAAATGACCCTATCATTTGAACAACTTTAGGGGCCGGGCGCAGTGGCTCACGCCTGTAATCCCAACACTTTGAGAGGCTAAGGTGGGAGGATCACGAGGCCAGGAGTTCGAGACCAGCCTGGCCAACATGGTGAAACCCTATCTCTACTAATAATACAAAAATTAGCCAGGCACGGTCCACATGCCTGTAATCCCAGCTACTGGAGAGGCTGAGGCATGAGAATTGCTTGAACGTGGGAGGCAACGGTTGCAGTGAGCCAAGATCGTACCACTGCACTCCAGCCTGGGTGACAGAGTGAAACTATCTCTCAAAAAACTTAATAAATAAAAATAAATAACTTGAGCAAAGATGTAACAATAGGTCAAGTTATTCTTTAAACAAAACTAAACATTGGAAGTTTTATATTATGTTCTTTTATCTGGAACATTGCAAAACTCACAAATCACAGTGAAATTAGGAACAGCATTCAAGCACAAGCGCAAACACTGCACCTGGAAACTCTGCATCTAACAGGTGCTCAATACATGTTGGCTGAGCAAGCATATCCACAACGGGCACTCAATGGCAATACACGTTGGCCGAGCAAGCATATCCACAATGGGGACTCAATGGCTGGCTCTCCAGTGGTCCCTGGGAAAAAGCCACAAGCCCAGACTTGCTGTCTGTGCAGATCTGTGTTCCGGTAAATCCTTTAACTCAGTCAAGATAGAATCCAGTTTCTCCCCTACCTGCCACTGTCCAAGGTTATCTCCCAGTTCAGGCCCCCGATGTTAGTCTCCCAGGAACGCATGATTCTTCCTCCATTGGACACAGTGATTGCATCTGGAAAAGAAAAGATCATGGTGAAGTCACTTCCCAATTGTTCTGTCGCCTCTGAGGGTCCCACTGTGAGCAATGGCCTCACCTCTGATTTCTGGATGCAAATACATGTTAAACAGGCACCTGTCCTTCACTGTCAGGAGTCCCCCATCTCCTTTCCCTACCAGATCCTGTACAGATGACGGAGCCAAGGAATGGGACAGGGAGCCGGCCACACAATGGAGACACAGGACTCTGCTTACCCTGTCCGTGAAGCAGCATGGCATCCACAGCCCCTTCTGCCGTGCCCTTGTCAACATGGCGCCACACTGAGAGACACGAAAGTTAGACGTTACTGTGAACAGAAGGAGGCAACCCAGAAGACTAAGAGATAAATGAAGAGCTCTTCATTTGCACAGCAATGTCCAATTTTATTTCGAGGGAGTGAAGGAGTATAGCTAACTGGCAGTGATCCAGTACCATTCACGGGGTAATGAGGGTAGAAGGGGTTAAGAGGAGCCACTACTGTCCAGGCCCCACTACCACACCATCAAACATAAACAAACAACAATAAGATTAATAAAATCCATCCAAGTCACAAGAAAAATAGTGATCATAAATTCTATTTCCATTATTTTAGTGCCTAAAAACATCCAGCCAATGTAGGTAATTAAGTGAGGGTATGTGAGAGTTTACTGCAAAGTAGAATAATGTGTTTTCTGCAGCAGCATCTTTTTTTGAGACAAGGTCTCGCTCTACTGCGCAGGTTGGAGTGAACTGGCATGATCACAGCTCACTGTAGCCTCAACCTGCCGGGCTCAAGCAAGAATCCCACCTCAGTCTCCCAAGTAGCTGGGACTCTAGGCACACGCCACCATGCCTGACTAATTTTTTAAATTTTAGACATAGGACCTCACTGTGATCCCCAGGCTGGTCTCGAACTCCTGAGCTCAAGTGATCCTCCCGCCTGGGCTTGCAGCAATATCTTATTTAAGGGCACTCAGGATTCAGGCTAAGAGAATAAACTGCAAAGGTCAGTTATAGGAATATACAAACATTCAAAGATGGTAAGACTGAAAAAAGTATCAGAATCCACTAGGAGAGGCGTCTTTTGGCCAACATGTCCCTTATTCAGGAATCAGCCAAGCAGAGTTGGCAATGGTGAGCCTTCTATCCCTTAGGCAGCCAGTAGACACGGTTCCCAGTTCACTCACAGATCTCCCCAGTTCTGGAATTTAATGCTGCAATCACATTCTTCTCTGTGGCTACAACCAACTTCTTAGATCCAGGGGAAAATTCCAAGGAGGCAAACTTGAGCTTCCCAACATACTGCTGTCTCCTGAGGAAAAGAGTACAGGGGAATGTAAGGAGCTAAAATCACCATTCCACAAAATGCTCCAGAAAAGAACAAATCACAGGGCTATCACCATCACACTCATTTTAGGACATATAAGAAGTGTTTGTGGCCCGGCACGGTGGCTTATGCCTGTAATCCCAGCACTTCAGGAGGCCGAGGCAGGCAGATCACAAGCTCAGGAAATCGAGACCATCCTGGCTAACATGGTGAAATCCCATCTCTACTAAAAATACAAAAAATTAGTTGGGCATGGTGGCAGATGCCTGTAGTCCTAGCTACTCCGGAGGCTGAGGCAAGAGAATTGCTTGAACCCAGGAGGGTGGAGGTTGCAGTGAGCCGAGATCGCGCCACTGCACGCCAGCCTGGGCAACAAGAGGGAAACTCCGTCTTAAAAAAAAAAAAAAAAAGAAAGAAAAGAAAGAAAGAAAAGTCTTAAACAGAGTCTTTCCCCCCTCATCAGCCTAGCCTGGCCCTGGGCTCAGAGCAGAGTTGCCCAAAACACTAAGCAGTTAGGAAATGCCATTCATTCATTCATTCATGAAAAGAAAATTGCATATACCTAGTATTCTGCAACATTAGATACATACATCACCTGCTATATATGTGTAATATACACATATAACATTGTGAACAGTTGTGCACATCATTAAAAGTGTAACTTATGTTGTATTTGTCACACTGTCTGGCATAACAGGTACTCAACATATATGTGAATCAACTTTTACCAAGACAGAAAATACTTCAGAGGAGGAGAAATCTGAGCTGGGCCCTGAAGAATAAAGGGTAAAGAGCAATAATAACAGGTAACATTTAATGACTGCATTCAATGAGCCAGGCATTGTTCTAAGTAATTTAATTGGACTGTCTCATTCATTCTCACAAGTACTGTAATAGATAACAGACTTAGTAAACCCATTCCATAGATAAAGAAACAAAGGCACAGAGTGGTTAAGCCACTTTCCCCAAGATCACACAACTCTTAATTGGTAAAATTTAAACAAAAGCAAGCTACTTCAGGGCCTTAAGGAAGGCGCGAGTGGGTGAATGAAGGAATGAATGGCATATTCTAGCTGCTTAGAGTTTTGGGCAATCCTGCTCTGAGCCCAGGGCCAGACTAGGTTGATGAGAGGGGGAAAAGGGTTCAGTTTAGGATTTTTAAGACGAAAGCTCCTGTTCAAATGCCTACAAGACACCAATTCGAGTAGGAATTCAAGTTCACTGACGGCGTGGCGACCTCTGACACCTGGTAGACCAGAAACCTGACAGTCAAAGAAATGGAACCTGACGAGGGAGAACGGGATCGGTGACCTCTGACCAGCACCCCAAGCATGTCTGGATGGCAGGGCCGGCTTACACACAAGGACCAGCTTAGAAGGACCCCTAACACTTGGTTTAAAGCTCTGCTTCGAACGACTTTAAATCCTTAATTTTTGAACAAGGCGCCCCACGTTTTCATTTTGTACTGGGTCCTGCAAATTATGCGGCCAATCCTGTTACATGACAACCCCCTTCCCTTTAGCAGGCAGGAGACAGGTACCGTGGAAACAGCCACTTATCTCTCGAATATGTTCTACACGTACGCACCAATCAAACTTGCCCACTTGGTCTTCGTAGACCGCGGCCACAGGAATCAGCAGCGCAGCCCAAAGCCAGAAACGAGAAGCCCACTCAGCCGCCATGATGCGAGCGCAGGCACCGCCCACCGCCGTCCCGGCATGCACCGCGCCGCGGGCTCCGCCTCCGCGGGACCACAGAGTTGGGACCGTGGGGTGCGCGAGGCCCTTGGTCGGACGCTCGGGATTCGGGGATTTCCTCGGCACGCGGGAAGTCGCCTTACAGGCGCGGGAGAAAGCGCAAGTGGTGGCTCGGCAGGAAAAGGCAGGCTGCAGTGCACACTGGGTCAGGCACACGCGAGGGGCAGCCCCCGAGAGCCGTCCCAGAGGCCCCCGCGCCGCCGGGGTCCTAACGGGGTGCACCGTCTTCTGCCGCCGCACGTGGATTCAGCGCTATGCCCAAATCCAAGCGCGACAAGAAAGGTGGGTGAAGGGGGCGTTGGGCCCCTGGGGGGCCTCTGTGGGTTGGCTGCCCAGCCTGCGGTGAGAGCTTCGGGGCGTCGGGGGCGCAAAATGGAACGCCAGGACATCCTCGAGGTGTTCCGCTGCCTCGCTGCTAGCTGGAATGGGGGCTTCGAGGCTGTAAAACCGCCAGAGGGGGCTGACGCCTGGTCGGGTCCAGGGAGCGGAGACTCTTGCCTAGTTTCAGGTGCTCTTACAAGGCCTACTGGGCCGGGAGGCAGCTCCTGAACACCGCCCCCGGCTGTGCCTGGTGCCGTTTCGGCCCACTTTTCCCAACCTCGGCCCTTTCTCATCTTCCTGCGCTCCCGCCACCCTGGCTGCCTTTCCCCGTTCCCTTCTTTCAGCACAGGCTTGTTCCCGTGTCTGGCGTTGTGTGTCTGCGGTTGTTTCTGTCTGGCATGCTTACCTCTTCGTATGGCTTGCTCTTTCTTAGTTGTCAGTTAATAGGACTCCTCTGAGTCAGGGTCTCGCTCTGTTGCCCAGGCTGGAGTGCAGTGGCGCCACAGGCCGGGTGCGGTGGCTCACGCCTGTAATCCCAGCACTTTGGGAGGCCAAGGTGGGTGGATCATCTGAGGTCTGGAGTTCTAGACCAGCCTGGCCAATATGGTGAAACCCCTTCTCTACTAAAAATACTAAAAATTAGATGGGCGTGGTGGCGGGTGCCTGTAATGCCAGCTACTTGGGAGACTGAGGTGGGAGAATCGCTTGAACCCGGGAGGCAGAGGTTGCTATGAGCCGAGATCGCGCCACTGCACTCCATCCTGGGCGCGACAGAGCGAGACTCCGTCTCAAAAATAAGTCACTGCAGCCTTGACCTCCTTGGCTTAAGCGATCCTCCCACCTCAGCCTCCCGAGTAGCTGAGACTACAGGCGCACGCCACTACACCCAGCTAGATTTTGTTGTTGTTGTTGTTGCTGCTGTTGTTGTTTTATAGAAATGACTTTCAGGGTGTTGCCAAAGCGGTCTGGAACTACGCCCGACTTGAGCGTAGTGGCTCACTTAAGAGACCATTTTTGACCACCTTTGCTGTGGTGGCATCTCTTTTAACCCGACTCCCTGGCATACTCAAAAATATTCAGGGGTCTGGCACTTTCTAGGCGTTGGAGGATACAGCAGTTACAAAGAAGGCCTGTTTCTTATCGAGCCTAACGTTTCAGGGGAAACACATTCCACAAAATGCTAAAAATCAGATTGAGTAAAAGTGGGGTGAAGAGACGGCGATATTTTGTATAATGTGGTCAGGAAAGGTCTCACTGATGTACAGATGAACAGAAAATTAAAGGAAGCGAGCGACCTGTGGAATTGTGCACCTATGGAATTATCGGGAAGAGTGCTGTTGCAAGTAGAGGGAACGTAAACTGAAAAGGCTCTGAAGTGGGAGCAGGTTTGACATGTTTGGGACAAGAGGCCAGTGGGGCTGGAGCAGAAGGAGCCAAATACAGTTGGGGGAGGGGTTAGGCAGAGAGGGCCCGGCTTCCTCGGCTTTAGTAAGGCATTGGCTTTCCTGCCCAGGTGAAATGGGTAGCAGAGGACCCATATGATTTACCTTTGCTTATAAAGGGTCACTCTGGTTGCCTTGATGAGAATAGTTGGGGAAGACAGGGCAGAGGGCAGGGATGGAAGCAGTGAGACCAGCATTAATCCAAGAGAGGGTGATGCTGACTTGAGCCAAAGGTCTAACAGTGGAAATGATGGAAAGTGGCCTGCTATATTTCGTTTGCCCCCCTCTACTCCACTTACCATTGACTGATGTCAGTGTCTTTGTCTGTGTGGTACCTTGTTAAGAGGGGCTGAGTGCCGGGCAGGTTAAAGAAGAGAGGCCCGGGTCCCTTTGTGAAGGCGCCCGGGGCTTTGCAGTTGGAGTTCTGTTAAGTGTTTGTGGAACAATTTGATTCTGTGGGGGGGGCCCAGGTCAGGTCTGGCAAATGCAAACTCTCTGGGTAGAGGGCGAATTGGGCCCCAGCCATTTTTACAGTAGAGGTACATATTCCTCCCCAGAGAGGTGTTGCTGCATCTATGGGTCCAAATTGCAAAACTGGAGTGCAGATACATAACAGGAGATTCAGTCCCCAGTCTCATGGTTGCACAGCATAGGCCAGCTAGAGTGACCTCTGCATCATGGTCAAGAGCAGCAAGGGGCCGGGTGTGGTGGCTCACACCTGTGATTCCAACACTTTCGGAGGCTGAGGTAGGCAGATCTCTTGAGCCCAGGAGTTCAAGACCAACCTGGGCAACATGGCAAAACCCATCTCTGCAAAAATACAAAACTCACCTGGGCATGGTGGTGCATTTCTATGGTCCCAGCCAAAATTAGCAGGCCATGGTGGGGTGTGCCTGTCATCCTGTGGGAGGATTGCCTGAGCCTAGGAGCTCAAGGTTGCAGTGAGCCAAGATCGTGCCACTGCATGCCAGCCTGGGTGACAGAGTGAGATCCCATCTCAAAAAAGAAAAAACAGGGGCCTGCCTCTGCCAGCGGGTGAGGTCTGCCACCGAGAGCACTCCCAGCAGCAGGAACAATCTCCACCCCCACACCGCAATCAAGTTTTCTGGGTCAGCCTTAGGGGCTAAGAAAGGCCTAGTTTGTCTAAATAGCAGGAGTTATATCTAGAGATCTTCAGGGCCAGGATGCTAATGAGTAGGCATTCCATGGGCCCTGGGAATGGCTTTGTGTGCCAGAAATGATGGCCACAAAGGCCTTGCTGCCTTTTTTCAGAATGGCTGCATCCGACTGAGCTCTCTGCCAAAGGGGAGAAAAAAATAAGTCTCCAATGCATCTAGATTGGTCTCTCATCATCTCTCTCCTTTTTGTTTTTATTAGTCTCCTTAACCAAAACTGCCAAGAAAGGCTTGGAATTGAAACAAAACCTGATAGAAGAGGTAAGAGGTGGTTCTTTTTCTAGAGCTTGCAATCGTTTGTTTTATCAAGGTAGGTATAGGACTGTTGGCCAGGGGAGCATACTATTGGAAAAAAAAAATCTCCAAGCTGCTAATCCAACCCTTTTTCCTCCAGCAGCAGCACCAGCAAAAACTTCCATAGTGATGATTTCCAGCTTTGACTAGCTTGTACTCTGTGCCCTGTCCTGCACTAAGTGTTTCATATGTGTCATTCCACTCCATCCTCATAACGTCGCTGAGATGTGGGTACTAGGTGATGATGTCGCTGTTTTGCATTTGGGGTCACTGAAGCTTATAGAGGTTTGTTAGCCTGCCCAATGACAAAAAACAGGAGGAGGCCAGGAACGGTGGGCCACGCCTGTAATCCCAGGGTGGGATTACAGTAATCTGGGAGCCCAAGTGGTCAGATAGCTTGAGTCTGAGAGTTCAAGAGCAGCCTGGACAACATGACAAAACCTCATCTCTACAAAAAGAAAAGAAAAAAAAAAGCTGGCTGGACATGGCGGTATGCAGCCTGGGCAACAGAGTGAGACCCTGCCTTTAAAAAAAAAAAGCTGGGAGATTTACCAGGTGTAGGTGACTGCACCAACCCACTGTCTGTACAGCTTCTGACTTGCCAACCTGGGCTGCAGGCTGGATGAAACAGTCTCCTTCTCCACAATGACTCCACTCCTGGAGGCTGCCTCCTGGTGGCTTTGGCCAGCACCATGTGCAGAGCAGTGCCGATCAGCTGCCTCCCCTTATAACAGTGAGGCTCCATGTGTTTCCACGTAGCAGGACCCTTCGTAGTGTGGGTGAATGTTTCTAGGTTAACCGTTGATGGTCAGTTCCACTGTTGGTCATAGATAAGTGAGAAACCTGGAAAAGGCCATGGGGTGTAGATCCATGGCTCAGCCTCCCCTGTAGTCAGGGATCCTAATTTCAGTAATAGAGGTAGAAGACAACCCAATTAGAGGCCTCCAGTTCTTCCAGTTTCCATAGTTGTCAGGGGCCCAGAGCAGATTCATTCTCATCTGAGGCCAGAGTAGTGCCCATTGTATGCTGCTGCTTGAACTCAGAGCCTGGTGAATTGTCCCACAGCTTCGGAAATGTGTGGACACCTACAAGTACCTTTTCATCTTCTCTGTGGCCAACATGAGGAACAGCAAGCTGAAAGACATCCGGAACGCCTGGAAGCACAGCCGGTGAGCGGGCGGGGGGAAGAAGGCCCTTCTGAGTGGGGACCCGGCCAGGCTGCTCTCAGTCAAAGTATAGGAGCAATTTCTGACCCTTTAGGTGCCTGGGTCATGCCACTGACACCTTAATAACGACAAAGTGCTACCTGCCACTGAAGAGTACTTCCTTTTCACTGTTACAGCTGGTCTTGGGCCGGGTGCGGTGGCTCACGCCTGTAATCCTAGCACTTCGGGAGGCTGAGGCAGGCAGGTCACCTGAGGTAGGAGTTTGAGATCAGCCTGGCCAACATGGCAAAACCCCTTCTCTACTGAAAATACAAAAATTAGCCGGGCATAGTGGCGGGCATCTATAATATAATCCCAGCTACTCGGGAGGATGAGGCAGAAGAATTGCTTGAACCCATGAGGTTCAAGTGAGCTGAGATCGCACCATTGCACTCCAGCCTGAGTGACAGAGTGAAACTCCATCTCAAAAAGAAAAAAAGCAGATTTTGCACTGAGCTTCTGGGGGCAGGACTTGGCAATTGAGATGTTTGAGAGGTGGTCCTTTCCAGAGAAGTGGCCCTTTAACCCTGGACTTTGGGCCGTTTAGGAGCATCACACCAGTTTTAGAATGTCAGCATGGGCACTGGGACACAGACAGTGACCTGGGAGCAGGATGCAGGAGCCACATGGGCAGTTTCTGTCCTGGAGCAGGTGGCTCTGGTGTTGGTCTCCTGCCGCCCCAGCTCTGGTTCAGGCTGTTAACGTGCCTCCTGCATACATCCAGACGGAGAACCCATACATGAGTACATGATGCTCGTGATGGGCTGGGAGACAAAGTGTTGCCATGTCAGGGGTCTGTGGGTGGGAACATAATGAAAAGGACCCCGAAGTGGGGACAGTGTGGCCAGGCAGCATGGAGAAGTGAGTGCCACTGGCTCAGCCTGGGCCTGAGCTCACTGGGGACCAGAGCTGCTTTGCATGTTGCTGAGGGGCGGGGAGGGCAGGGCACTTCCTTCACAGAACGCTCTTTCTCTTGCTTGGTAGGATGTTCTTTGGCAAAAACAAGGTAATGATGGTGGCCTTGGGTCGAAGTCCATCTGATGAGTACAAAGACAACCTGCACCAGGTAAATCTCTGGTTTTCACGGGGTAGGGCTGAGGCAGAGCCGCCTTCTCTCCCACTACTCCCACGTGATAGCCTCCCCCAGCCGTCGGCTGGCCCGTGGCTCAGGGAGAGCAGGGCCTGGCTTAAAGCTCTGGGTTCTCCCTTCACCTCCAGACCCAGGGAATAACACCCTTCCTGCCTCCCACTCCTTCCTGCTGTGACCACCAGATACATCTTTAAACGTTGCCAAATGTCCCCTTGTGAGCAAAAACGTGCCTAGTAGAGAACCACTGCTCTAATGTGACCAAGCTGGCCTCACTCTTGATTTGTAGGTCAGCAAAAGGTTGAGGGGTGAAGTGGGTCTCCTGTTCACCAACCGCACAAAGGAGGAGGTGAATGAGTAAGTACTGCTGAGGAACGGAGAGAAAGAGGCGGCTGAGGGGGATTTCAGGCAGGGAATGATGCAGGGACTTCATTCCATATGCGGCATCAAGTCGGAACTGCTCCTGGAAGCCTGTCACTGAGCTAGTGACCTGGGACCACAGCCCTCTCTGCCCTCTCCAGCATGGTGTGGTGGGCTGGCTGCTGGCCAGCAGCCAAGGTCTGTGAAGGCCCAGGGCCATGGGACACTTGGGGGAGCCTGACTCATGGGCTGGTGGTGTGGCCAGGAGCATCCCCTCCTACCACTTCTTTTTCCCTTAGGTGGTTCACAAAATACACAGAAATGGACTACGCCCGCGCTGGTAACAAAGCAGCATTCACTGTGAGCCTGGACCCGGGGCCCCTGGAGCAGTTCCCCCACTCCATGGAGCCACAGCTCAGGCAGCTGGGCCTGCCCACCACCCTCAAGAGAGGTATGGGCAGCCCTGGAGCCAAAAGCTCACAGCCTAGAGTCCAAGAGCACAAGCCTGCAAGCTCATCCCTTTCTGGCTGAGCAAGTTATTTCTACAAGCCTCCATTTTCTCATGTGAAAATGGGGCTAAGAGTGCACGCCTCACAGTTGGGGTGAAAGCAGACAGTAACTTATAGTCTTGCAGCTGTTGAGGGACAGGGACATCAGGGGCCTGGCGCCGGTTTAAAAAAAAAAAGTCAAAAAATTAGACAGCCATGGTGGTGTGTGCCTGTGGTCCTAGCTACATGGGAGGCTGAGGCAAGAGGATCACTTGAACCCAGGAGGTCAAGGCTGTGGCGAATCAAAGGGACCTCAGGGAGACAGCCACTGCCCAGTGTGTGATGGAGCTGTGGGGAGGGCAGGTGGCTGACTGGATTCCTCCTAACGTGGCAGGGACAGAGGTAACAGAGCCACCCTCTTCTGCAGGTGTGGTGACTCTGCTGTCCGACTTTGAGGTGTGCAAGGAGGGCGATGTGCTGACCCCAGAGCAGGCTCGCGTCCTGGTGAGTCGGGTGCCTTGAGGGCTATTGCAGGAGGGGCCGCTGGCTTGCTTCTGCCTGCTGAAAACGACCCCCTGCACTTTGAATACCTCCATTCCTCCTGATTCTTTGTTCTCTTTGTCTCTTGCAGAAGCTTTTTGGGTATGAGATGGCTGAATTCAAGGTGACCATCAAATACATGTGGGATTCACAGTCGGGAAGGTTCCAGCAGATGGGAGACGACTTGCCAGAGAGCGCATCCGAGTCCGCAGAAGAGTCAGACTCAGAAGACGATGACTGAAAGGGACTCAAAACTGAAGGCCTCCTGGAACCTTCTGGGTCTCACTGGACCATGCAGGACTGCTGCCGCCCCTCTGAAGAGAGCAGTTGTTTATTTGTCTGTAGACAGGGAATGTGATGGGCACTGACCTCCTATAAAGAATAAAACTCTGGGCCGGGCGCAGTGGCTCAAGCCTGTAATCCCAGCACTTTCGGAGGCTGAGACAGGTGGATCATGAGGTCAGGAGACCGAGACCATCCTGGCTAACACGGTGAAACCCCGTCTCTACTAAAAAATACAAAAAACTAGCCAGGCGAGGTGGCGGGCACCTGTAGTCCCAGCTACTCTGGAGGCTGAGGCAGGAGAATGGCCTAAACCCGGGAGGTGGAGCTTGCAGTGAGCTGAGATCCGGCCACTGCACTCCAGCCCGGGCTACAGAGCGAGATTCCGTCTCAATAAAAAAAAAAAAGCTCTGAGCCAGGTGCAGTGGCTCACACCAGTAATCCCAGCACTTTGGGAGGCCGAGGCGGGCAGACCATAAGGTCAGGAGATTAAGACCATCCTGACTAACACAGTGAAACCCTGTCTCTACTACTGTTGCCCCGACTGGTCTGAAACTCCTGTCTTCAATCAGTCCTCCTGCCTTGGCCTCTCAAAGTGCTGAGATTAAAGGTGTGAGCCACTCTTTTTTTTTTTTTTTTTTTTTTAATGGCTGAATAATAGTCTGTTGTATGAATATGCCACATTTTCTTTATGCATTCATTCATTGATGGACATTTGGGTTGTTTTTAATTATCAGCTATTATGAGTAATGACACCGTGAAAACTCATTCCCAAGTTTTTTGTGGGGAGATATGTTTTCACTTCTCTTGGCTATACACCCACAAGTGGAACTGCTGAATCCTGTGGTAATTTTATGTTTAATCCTTTGAGAAGTTGCCAAACTATTTTCCAAAGTGGTTGTACCATTTCACATTCCCCCCATCAGTGTGTGAATTTTCTCCCGTCTGTCTCTTGCTCACTCTCTTGCCATGTGACATGCTGGCTATGCTTCCCCTTCTGCCGTGATTGTAAGCTTCCTGAGGCCCTCCCCAGGAGCAGATGCCGGCACCACACCTTCTTGTACAGACTGCAGAACCGTGAGCCAAAGAAACCTCTTTTCTTTGTAAATGACCCAGTCTCAGGTATTCTTTTATAGCAACGGAAACAGACTAACACACAGCATCCTGGGAGGTTTTATTCTTCGTTTATTGGTGACTCTACTGTTAAATTTTTGTCCAAATACTTCCGTCCCTAAGAATTTACTGAGGCAGTTCTAAATTAGAAAAAGCATGAGAGAGCAAAAGAGGTGACAGAAGAGCCTTGGGCAGCCTGAGCCACAATGGGCCTAGATGAAGTAGTTGGGACATTCGTGGGCAAACAAATGCCAGGCTTGATTAAAGGCATCCACGACAGCTGGCTCCAGGGGCCCTTCCTCTGCCGCTGCCAAGTTCTGCTCCAGCTGTTCCAGGCTGGACATGCCCAGGATGACCGCGTCCCTGTGGGCACCCTGAAAGGGAGACAGCCAGACTTCAGCCGCCTTCTGCTACACAGCGACTCCACTCACAACCCTCCCAGTCACGACCCTACCGAGATTTGGGCTCTCTTATATCCCATATGTCCAGAAAGAACTTAAGGTGCCTTGGATAGCTGTACCCATGTCACTCAAAACCTGTATTATTTCCCCTACTGCCACATGATGCTTCTAGACAGACCTACATTCACAGCCGAGTTCTGCCCCCCAGCAGCCGTGTAAAGGTGACTAAGTTATTAAAACCTCTCGACACTCAATCCTCTATTTTCAACATAATTATGTGTATGAAGAAGTAATGTAGAGCACTTAGCTCCCATTTATTGAGCACCTACTATATATGTGCCAGACTGTTGCAACATCTAAGGCTGGAGTTGGATAACAATTTGAAAGAGGAAGACATGAGGCACTGAGAGAGGGAAATTCCAGCTCCCACCAAGAGGATGAGACTAGTGGGCTTTACAGTTAAACCTGTGTTAAAATGTATTCCCCTTTCATAGCTGGGTGAGACTCAGTTTCCTCATCAATAACACCGGGACAGTCATTTCATAAAGCCGAAGGAATAATGAAATCCCTGCAGTAAGGCCCTCATTACAAAGCCTGGTACTCAGATACCATCAAAGACCAATGGGAAGGCGGAGCACAGTGGCTCACGCCTGTCATCCCAGCACTTCCAGAGGCCAAGGAGGGTGAACTGTCTGAGCTCAGGAGTTCGAGACCAGACTAGGCAGCCTGACGAAACTCAGTCTCTACTATAAATACAAACAATTAGCTGGGCACGGTGGTGCACGTCTGTAATCCCAGCTACTCAGGAGGCTGGGGGAGGAGAATTGCTTGAGTCTGGGAGGCAGAAGTTGCAGTGACCTGAGATCATGCCACTGCACTCCAGCTGGGGTAACAGAGCGAGACTCTGTATCAAAAAAAAAAAGCAAAAAACAAAACAAAACAAAAAAAAACCAGTGGGAAGAGTTTTATGAGACTTAGAAGAAAGAAATTTCAGAGGAATCGAGAAAACAAATGCTTTGGGCTTCACCTAAATGCTGGTCCCCCTGGAAGGGAAGAAGCTGAGCGCCCAGGGTCGCTGGTTACCTGCAGCTGTGAGTGGTGGTACATCCACCGGAGGGCGGCTGAGGTCGTGCTGGGGGTGCTGGCGCCATAAGCAGCCTGCAAGGCCTTCTCTACCAGGGCAATCCCCTCGAAGTGGTTCTCCTTCCAGAAGCTGGAAAGGGGGGACGGTGGCACAGGGGTCAGTACCATGGGGGTCATACTGGGAGCTACAACCAAAGGGTCATCCAGGGCCACTGCCCCACCCCACACCCTGCAGCCCTGAGGGGAGGGTGTCCTTTCTGGTCATAGGTCTCCCACTTTGCTGGGCATCAGAACCACCCAAGATGCCGGCCCTCTCAACAGAGACCTCAACCAATCTTTATTCCTGAGAACTCATCAGCCTGCTCTTATTTTCCCCTAGGGACACAAAGGCCGCTGAGACGGGGCAGGACTCAGCCCCAGGCCTCCTGGACCTCCCTCCAGGGCGACTTCTTTCCTTCCTAGCAGGTGGTTGCTCAGGAAAGAGCTACGACTTCAAGACCCTGAGGTCCAGGGAGCCTCATTTCCTCCTGGAGGTCCCCAGACAACAAGAAAACCCACGGAGGGTTTGGAAATTCCTGAAGGAATGCAGGGGAGTAAGTGCAGCAGCGAGGAAACGCCTTACCCCAGGAGCAGCCAGGACTTCATTCCACATAAAGCCGACCCCACCCCAGCCATCCACACCAAGCACCTCCAGCTCACCGATTCCTGTAGATCTCTGCCCACTGATGCCCAAAAAAGCGGCTCACGGGCTGTTTCCCGTCCTTGTCCTCATACTTGTACTTGCCAGTCAGCAGGCCCCCTGCGGGAAGGCAGCAATCAGCTCCAGGACCCAGAGTGCCCCAGAAGTTGCCACGTCCCTCAGGGCTCTGGTCTAGGGGAGGGGCGGGGACCCAGGAGGGCTGAAGGACGCAGCCCAGCCCCTTGTCAAACCCTCCCTGCTTCCCAGGTCCTGGGCTGGGCATCTGTGGGTCGGGAATAGGCTGAGTCAGGGCCAGGAATGCTCCACGTACCAGCTAGAGGGTTGTAGGCATAGAACCTCAGTCCAAAGTGCCTGAGGCAGGGGAAGAGCTCCGTTTCCACTTGCCGGGTGGTGGCGCTGTACATGCCCTGCAGGGAGAGGGACCCCGGAGAGAGAGTGGATGTGTCAAAAGAAGGGACCTCAAATTTACCCTTATAGAGCCCTTATTTCAGACCTTATCAACTCTAGGACTTTAACCATCTGGGCATATACTTATTCTTACTGGTGCTGGCGAAAGGGACTTATGCCCGAGGAAAATTCATTCATTCAGCCAACTTTCATGAGCACCAACTGCGGGCTGGTTGTCAGATTTAGATTCTTAAGCCAAAAGGACAGGGTCCCTTCCCTCAAGGTTTTATAATAAGGTCAAGTATAAACAGTTATAATCGAGTAATGAGGCAATCTTAATAGACTAGAAAGTTCTGTGACCAGTGTCTGGCACCAAGCAGGTGTACAAATATTTGTGCAATGAATCATGAGGAGGTAAACAAGGACCTGAGGTCTCCGGGTCTTCTGCGCCCATTTAGAAAGGCTTCCAGAGGATGAGACACGTATACGAGACCTGAACCATTCTCCTAGGGAAGGGGCAGCGGCAGGGAAGGGACAGTGGCGGGGAAGGGCGTGTTCCAGGCTGAGTGCAGGGCCAGGTGGGGAAGGAAGGGTCCAAGGTGCACAGATAGGCAGGAAGGAAGCAGATGCCCAGTGGCCAGTCTGAGGAGCTTGAATGGCATCCTGAGGGTACCTGGGAGCCATCTGCAGGCTTTCAGCAGGGGGTGGCTGCTATGCAGAGGGCACAGGGGGCAGTCAGGGTGGCAAAGACAGCCCAGGATGAGCAGGAGTTCTGGAGACCTTGGCCTCTGCAGCCCCAGCCCTCACCTGGTACACAGTGGGCACGATCCAGCCATTGCTCTTGCAGAGGGTACAGATCTTGGCCACTTCCCAGGCGGCATAGTTGGAGAGGCCAAGCTCCACGAACTTGCCCTGCAGGGGTGAGGCTCCAGTCAGAACGCAGTGCAGCCCAGACCAGGAAGTGGAGGCCAGGGTGGGGCCCTTGGGAGTGGGACTGTTCCCTGCTCCACCCTGGGACTGCCCTGGTGCCTCTGATCTCACCAGTGGGATCAGAATGAGAGTAGCAGCGGGCCACCTCCCAGAGCTCAGGGGTCCCTTCACCTCCTGGTGCAGCTGGTGGCAGGCGCGCAGTGTCTCTTCCACCGGGGTGCTGTGGTCAGGTCCGTGTAGGTAGAAGAGGTCCACTCGGGGACACTGCAGCCGCTTCAGTGACGTCTCCAGCTGGAACCGGAGACTGTCAGGCTTCAGGGAGTTCCCCATCCATGGATTGGCCTTGGTAGCAATTTTCACTGACAGGAGAGAGAAATGAAAATTTAGGACTGGACGTGGTGGCTCACGCCTGTAATCCCAGCACACTGGGAGACCGAGGCAGGTAAATCACCTGAGGTCAGGAATTTGAGACCATCCTGGCCAACATGGTGAAACCCCGTCACTACTAAAAATACAGAAATTAGCTGGGGGTGGTTGCGCACGCCTGTAATCCCTGCTAGGGAGGCTAGGCACAAGAATTTCATGAACCGGCCGGGTGTGGTGGCTCACGCCTGTAATTCCAGCACTTTGGGAGGCTGAGGCAGGCAGATCACAAAGTCCGGAGTTCAAGACCATCCTAGCT